AAAGATTCCCTTTTTACTCATTGACATTGCATAATGAGCACTGCACCACTGAATTGATTACTGAACTGACTAGATTTACATGTTTGCTTTTCATCAAAAATAAGCTTTTTTGCCATATAGTAGTATAAGTGAGAGTACATGATTTATAACATATAATTAATAGCAAATTTCTTTAGTTCATTCACAAGAAAAAATGCCGATTGTGATCTTTTTTACGTGTTAGAGGCTGAATGAGAACCAAATAGTTTCGTGGAAGTAAGTGTATGGAATTTTTTTTTAACCCCAGAACTATTTTAAAATGTTACTCTCGTAACATTGATCGCGCAATTCCAAGTATGTCATAACGGTCAAATTACACAAGGAAACTACAACCCTCTTTCTCTTTTCAACTTTTCTTTTAATTTTTTTCCAAGCCGATTTTTTTAAATGAACATATAAACTATTACAATTAGTTGAAAATTTGTTTTTTTTAAATTTGCCAAAGATAACTTAGTTAATCCGCAACTGTTTTAATACATTATCTGTCACCCAAAGGTCAGAATGCGTTCCAAAGCGGGTACACTTTCCAGTCGAAATTTTAAAATTATTTCACTCACAGAGCTTTCCCATAAGCATCAAAAACGCTCCTGCGTAGACAATCAACCAAGCGCTTGGGACTCCAAAATAGCCAGAAGTAGACGACATATTTACGAATCCAAGAATAAGATTTCTTCTTGTTCCCTCTCAGTGCAATCCTCCGGAAAAGAGAATCCCACCAGATTTTGTGTCACGCACGGCAGCCAATAAGCACGATTTTACATCGTAACACTCCGGAGGTATGTCACTTGTGAACACTCACTGAATCACAGTTGACTTTTTTCTACGTGTGGAGAGTTCTTAGCAGCCACACATAATTGCAGGAAAAAAATCGCATATGTTATCCTCGTCCACGCTTTGGAATTTAACGGGATAGAGAGGAAGCCTTATTCATTTGTTTTCGTGGTTTCCTCTCTTTCATGTCTACTGTTGATTCATATTCTCGGTAAGTTCACACTATAAAAACGTCATCCACTAACGATCCAATTTGAACATTTTTCCATGTGGCATGTCCGCACTTACACCTAGCACATCTGATGTGATTATTTATGTTCGTTTAGTTTTTCCTAAAACTCTTAAGAAAATCCTTCACTATTTTGCTCGCAAGACATGATGCACAATATCTCCGAATAATCGTGGTGACATTTGAAAAGAAATAATTTTCTTATACCAAAATTCTTGAAATTAATGACTATACTTAAACGTACCTCATAGATAAACGGGCAGTCCATTATTAGTACGGAATATTATGGAAGCCTGTCACTTAAACTTTAATATGATTTCAATGAATGTCGCAATATACTTACCTTTAATAAAGTTATAAATAATGTAAACAAACTTGTAGAAATTTGTTATAAATGAGTATCAAAACAATCTTACACATGACTGAAGCAACTATGGACAGAAAATTATAAGAAAGTGCAGAACTCTGAGGGAACCTGCCACGTACCTTTAAGACTATCACAAAATCCGCTTTCGGACCTTGAAGTGGAAAAGCTATCGCCCTGGGCGCTAAGCCACAGGTCACCCCTGCATTCATTACAATGGGTTACGATTATTATCTCATTGTATTTTTACCCGTGACATCCTGAGGTCGATTCCATCATCACTCCCACACGATATCAAGGACGCCGACGTGGCAGTGCTTTGCCCCGGGATATCCCACGCCCTTCCTGCCTCCTAGCAGGCAAAACCTGAGCGTTCACGCTCGACAGCGGGCCAGGCAACGCTCTGGGAGCGACGAAATCAAGAAACGTCTTGTGCCGATGGACACCGCACGCACACAGCCTTCGTCGAAGGCAAAAAACAACTTCTTTCATAATTTCTGCGTTAAGAGCGATTCGGATGTATTTACAACTTCCTCGCGGCGGTGTGTTGGAACCGAAGGGAGACGGTAGAATATGTTCCCAGGAAGAACATCGGGTCAGTCCTCTCCTGGGAACGAAAGAGTGCGTCACAAGCCTCTCGCTTCATCGCGGAAAGGCCCAGGAAGGCGGCCACTGTCTCAGAGAGTTGAAACGAAAACTGAAGGGATGGTGTTACGGAGTCGAGTACTCGTAGCTCGTATTACCGCTGACAGGATAGAGCTCCCTTCCACTTGACTGGTATTTATAGCTCTATCGTCACCAAGAACAGTTTACCGATATTCGCGAATAAACGGCAAGGGAGCTGAGCGTTTCCTGTATGTATGCAAGTACTTTCACGTAATGCGATTTTATGAACTACAAAAGAATGAAGGCCATTTGACAGATACTTAAATGTTTTTGATGTTTCATCACGTCAGCATTTTAAGAATGCCCAGCGCAAAATATTAATTACATTCATTCAGATAAAAGTAGGTTTTTCTCTACCTGCAACAGACAATTATTCACGACAGACGTAGTCATCCTGATACATAACAAAGATTCATGAAATATATTAAAAAATTCCAAGTAATTTGAGAATTTTAATAATTGCAAAGAAAGTTCTCAAAAGAAATACTAAAGGAAAAAACAATTCAAAAGCGGCAACAAATATAAACAGGGAAAATACTTAATTTTTTTCAGCTTTTGATTTTCCAACTTGATCTGACAACGGCAATTTAAAAGACAATTTACAAAGTGCAAACTGCGTTCCTGCTCTCAAATTCTTCTGGCATATATCTGCTTCCTAAAGTACTAGTAATGCATGCACTGTAACATGTGGAAAAGTTAGTTTTGTCAAGTCGAACCGTGGAACCCATTCAGAATAATAAAAAAAATATTAATGCATTGGAGTTTACGACGATATCTCTCACTTATGATATCAAGAACTATGCTCGAGCAGTCTGCTTTTTGACTGTAAACAATCGTAATTTCATTTCCCTTTTCCCTGCCTCAAAGCTGCAGTCCTTATTGCCCTTTCTAACGCCCTGTAGGCGCAAGTGCTCGGAGCGCGAGGGAGAGAAGAGGCGGCCGCCACAAGTGGCCCATTTTCGTATCGATTCATCGCGTCCGCGCCAGGCGCCGCGCCTCCTCCTGCTGCTCTCTAAGCAGCAACTGCGGGCGACGTTCATGAGACGCAACGAAATTTGGAGTATTTTGAATATCCCCCTGTAACGCACCCGTAACGCGCACTTGTACTCGACCGTAAATAATTACGTAACGCTTCCGACACCACCTCCTTATTTCCAAGAAGTAAAAATAAATTTAAAAATCTAATCTGTCTTCTGAGAACATCAAACTAAACTCCCCCGCACACGTCTTTTGTGTTAATTCTTTTCTTCGTTTTCATACTCTACTTTCTGGATATACTTTCTCTAACTGCTCACTGTCATCCACTCATTGTCTCTCCGATATTTTTATTTATTATCATTATTTATCCTAACCACTTAAATCAACAATCATGAAATGTAATACAATAACCGTGAGATTAATGAATGTGATGAACATTGGTGTTGGTGAAGTGTTGAAGAAATTGTAAATATCTGCAATGTTATTGTCGTGCTCACACCTATTATTAATCTGATGAGTTACGGCTTTATAAAGTAACTGCTATTTATGAAATAATAATAGCAACATGATGAGAATTGGACGGCAGATCCTCGATACCATTATAAGCTGCTCGTCAGGTTAATAATAAAATGAATTATTGCGTCCTCATATTAAAAGATAAAAAGGATATGATAACAAACAAACCTTACGTGGTAGTTGTTTTTTGAGCTCATATCTGAAATCACAGACCTCGAATTATTTTTAAAAGTTACTTTTATTCATGTCATTAAAGAAAGTTAAATCTTTTTGCCCTGTGTAATAAACGGGTTGGTAAACACACCAAACCACCAATTATTTCACTCCGAGGATTAAGCCGATAAGTCGTGAAAACTTAATTTTGACAAACATTTTGATAAACATTGCCGCCCTGATGTTATATGAAGTAATCTTGTGGAGGAAATGAACAGAGAACTCAATTTATTTTATGTTAATTTCAGTTTTGATGTTGACTTCAAATCATTGTTTTAGTGTGAAAGTTCTAGTGTGAAAAATTAGATAACTCGATTTATTTTGTTAGGGTATGATTTTATGTAATTTCCACTATGTTCTTAAATAAACATTCTTCCACTCAGCAACCACAAGGAATTTATTAGTACTTAACATAGAGTAAGGTCCAAAAAGCATTCGTGATAACCACCTTCTTTTAAATGATTTTATTTCTTTAATTATTTAAAAAAACATTTAAAAGAAGGTGATTGTTACGAATATGTTTTGGACCTTACACTATATGAAGTACTAATACTAAATAGAATGACAATTTACACTTCACAAAATACCTTTTATCTGCATATAAATAAAAGGGAATGTGCGTATGTGAGCCGGGTATAGACGCAAAAACTACTTGACCGATTTCGTTGAAATTTTCACACTTTGTTCGCATTTTCACATGAAATGTTCACACAATTACTAATATAATGGGAGTGTTTAAACAGTGGTTTGGATTAAATCGGTCGTGTGTTAATTATTTATTTGTTTTTGACGACTCAAGCGCCCGTGAACTCTACGCAACTCGCAGTAGAATCAAGGATACAGCGCGTCTTCACTGCATACACGTTTTCTGCCCCCGCGATTGTAAAATATCGGCCTGAATTATTGAAATATTACTCATAGCACATGCCTAAATTTGAGGGATAATGTTTCAACAATAGGATACTTGGCGACCATGTCCTAACCTGGACATAGAACAAATCCATACTTCGGATGAATTCGTGCAACTATTAGAATGTTTTCACAGCGCGGTGTAAAATATGATTAACAATGACGTGAACAGTTGTGTGTGATGTGTACTGCACTGGAATAGCGAGGCATTGTCGGGATTACTAGTATAACAATAAACAGAAGGAATTTAACCCAAATTTTTTACGCAGAAATGTAGGGAATGGTTAAGGGAATACAGTAAAATACCTAACTCACTTTTAGCAAAAGGTTGACTTGCCAGCTTATTCATCGGGATCAAGAGTTATAGAGCACAAAGCAATAATTTTACAATTGCCCGGTGACAGAGTACTGGCGTCGTGTGACGATTCTGATGCTCTTCGACGAACAGGTTAACAATAATATTCATATTCATTAATTTTATTATTTTAAATTAGATTAGAAGCCCCCTCCCCCAAAATGGACCAAACGAAATACTACCAGAAGGTACTTGTTCCCCAATGGTAGATCTAAACGCGTCTGTGAATGACGAACGGACTGACACACTCGACACCCTCTTACTAATTTATAGGATAAATCTTTCTGTAGTTATTGAGTGTTCGTCTTTCATTCCCTGTTAGACTTCTTCCAATCCACGGCAGCATGTGCCCGGCTTGTTAGACTTTTTCTCGTCTAAGAATCCTTCCTTCACTCAAAAATTTCCCCAAATCTCATTATTAGGTACAGTCCGCATCGCCAACTACTGCTGACTTAGTCATACATTTTAATATATTACACAAATACAATTATTACAAATTGCTTTTACTGTGTTATTTTATCTACCGATGAAAGCAGTCGTTCGCTAGAATTCTGCTCCAGACAGTGGTAGAATTCGAAACAGATACGAAACAAGTTTCGCACGGAGAGAGCAGTGCAAGTGCACCGGAAACAGCAGCAGCTCCTCATCGAAGGACTGTAAATCCCGAAAGGAACTCTCTCTTCACTAAACCTGAGACTGTTCTTTCGCTCAGCGACCGCGACACGAGCAACATTGGCCTGAGAGAATTGCACCTCTCGGCAGAGTCCAGGGTTCAATGCCGGGGGCGTTCCGTGGGGCCCCGCGCCGCGCCCTTCGCCCGACCGACGTTGTGTAAACTGAACGGGTCCCGCGCAGAGACTTCTCACGTAAGAAGCCCGCGTCGATTATCTCGCGATCTGCGCGCCCGCACTCGACCTCTTCCCAGTGCTACTTCCCACCTCCGCAGCCATTGGTCTCTGGATGTTTTAAAGGAAAAACAGCGGTTTTACCATTTATTCTTCGGAATTGCTCGCCTTATTCACATCGTGCCCATGTGAATCTCTGGAGCTCTCGCTCAGATTTACATGTCAAGGAAGAAGTGTACGTGCTAGATGGCTAGTCATGCGACCCATTTACACAAAAAGATTAGTTAGTGATAACAATGTACACTTTACGGCATTTGCGTTGCTTTTATATCAAGCAATGTGCTTTAACATTTTGTAATGGAGACATGACCAATCTCACATTTGATGTACACGGCTTAATGTGCTTTAATTTCATTCGTTCTCTATGAGTTAATCGTATTATCTTGAAATACAATAAAACTCATATGGATGAAGCAAGAAGGTTCACAAAATTAGCGAACGAGGAACACGTCTGGACAATACAGGATATCCCAGCATTAAATACCAATCAAGTATTCGCGATCAATTATCTTGTCACTCTACTCACTCTAAATATTAAGTACAGATTTGGTGTCAGAACAATAATACAAAGACTGAATAGTTCACCGCTGTATAAATTACATCTACTTTTATACGGACACATACTTTTAATCTTCCGCAAAAACGTGTTATTCAGATACATATTAAAATCCACTACAACGCAATCTTGAGCCGAAGACTAATTTATCTACCGACAACACGTAACAACGGGGAGCGCAAAACACTGTAGTTATCGTCTTTTATCGCCCCCATGAGCACGTCGCAAGCGCGCAAGTGAACGTCGCGCGGGGCAATTAGCGCGCTCTGAAGGGGCTCGAGGTGAGCAGCGGCGCGACGTGCCGGCGCAGGTGGCCGGGCCGACGCGCAACTGCAGCGCGCGGCTTGCAGTGCTGACGCCATCATAGTTGCGCTTCGTGGCTTAGGATATTCTTGATCCTTTCCTAGCAGGAATGCAAAGTCATTAATTCTAGCTATGAGACAGTATAAAGTGTAACGTCTGTTCCTAAGGAGATGCTCGTCGAGCCCACAAAAGAAGAAAAGAAAAGAAAAAAGAAAAGAAAAGAAAAAAGAAAAGAAAAGAAAAGAAAAAAGAAAAGAAAAGAAAAAGAAAAGAAAAGAAAAAGAAAAGAAAAAGAAAAAGAAAAAGAAAAGAAAAGAAAAGAAAAGAAAAAGAAAAGAAAACAGAAAAGAACAGAAAAGAACAGAAAAGAAAAGAGAAGAGAAGAGAAAAGAAAAGAAAAGAACAGAAAAGAACAGAAAAGAAAAGAGAAAAGAAAAGAACAGAAAAGAACAGAAAAGAAAAGAAAAGAAAAGAAAAGAAAAAAAAGAAAAAAAGAAAAGAAAAGAAAAGGAAAGAAAAGAAAAAAATAAAAGAAAAGAAAAACGTAAAGAAAACAATTGTGTACGTTCTTATTACGCGATAATATATTTACTGAACACATATAAATACCAATTTCTTCAAGTAATCCACTTTTTATCTCAATTTAAAACATTACATTCCCCTTCAGAATCATTCTTCTATTTCCCATTCAGCCAACCTTTCTGACATCTTGAGAGAATAAACAACTGAAAAATAGTCACACTCTTATCGACAATTCTGTACATCGGCGTTTACGAAAAGTATGAAAATATTTCCAACGCAAATAAACATAATTTTCCTATACAGATAAAAAGGAAAATAATACAATCACTAAAAGCACAATGTCCTCTACGAAGAACGGGGATCGAATCAGCACTAGAAAAATAAAGATGTAAAAAAGTGATTTACATATCTTCTGCCACTATAGCTACTAGAGGAAGAGTCAAACTGCCTCAACAGTTACATTACTTCTCAATAATGTAGAACACGGATCTAGTGAACGGAAAGCAATATAAAGGTGGTGGACCCCCTCCTCCTTCGGATTTCTAGGATTAACAGTGTCATAGGTATAGAGGGGTTGTAGGTCCTAGGACGTTAGAATATCCCAATAAATTTTTTAATGCATAGTTCAGTAATGACTAATAACACCTACAGAAGATCGTGAAGCGTCAGTACAATTTTCTAACAAATACTTTCAATATATCTTACTCTATATGAATATTCGTTATCATGATCAGAGCGTATCTCCCTTCATTCTATTGTATATAGAAAAAAAAGGAACATACTTAGAAATAAAGAAATGCAGGAAGTTATTATGTAAAATAATAAAAAGTTTACATTTCTAGGTGCAAATATTACATCAAATTCAGTGGACGTAAGTCCAGAAATATACTTCTTGAGAACAATACTGAATTTTGACTAAAAAAATCATTACTCACTGCTGTGAACACAAAAGTATTGGAAGACCGGTACTCTCAATTTGTTTACCAATTTCTCTCAACCCCTGAAGGATGAGATGAAGGCCCCGGCGAACAAACGCTACTCGACGTCATTGCAAGGCCCTGAACGACGTCCCCAAGGCAGTCGAACAATGCAGCCAGCAGCGCACGCGAGCTTCTGGCGGAAGAGGCGACGGGTATGCAGAGCAGCTGCTCCGCCCGTCACGGCACGGGAAAGCACGCCAAGGCACGGCAGGGAGGCCCTGCCGAACAACGGACGGCAGGCAGAGGAAGATGGAAAATATATGATATACGACGAAAGAGGAACAACGGAGGGCGATAGAGAGAGAAATGACAAAGGAAAAGTGGCGGAGTGAGCGGAACGAAAGGACTGAGAAGAGGGAGTGGAGTGAGAGGAAGGAGTTGGTGAATTGATTAATGGATTAATGAATGACCGCGTCCACTGCTAAGGTCGTTAGTCTTGAAAGTGTAGTGCATGTTTTATCGAGGGAGGTGGCCATAATTTTACACAGCTGGATGGAGATCCTGCGCCGATCTACCCGTTGGCTTGCTGTCTTTTTCCAGGTGTCTACCACTAGCGGGGCATCTCCCCAGGCGGGACAAACTCTGAGCTCCCAACTGGTCTCCCGCACGTGTGCGGGTGCACATGTGTGTGTGTATGTGTGTGTAATTAGAGGAAATGATAGGACAAGGAAGAGGATAGATCGCGCATGGACCGTGGTCCGTTTCAGCATTCGCCTGGTGTTCAACGCAGAAACCACGGAAAAATACCGATCAGAACATCCGGCCGTTAGGAATCTCCTCCATACAGCGGCTGAATTTGACCTAGCTAAAGTCGAAAATCGTAACTTGAAACTAACACCGTCGGAACTAGAAACCTAGCACCTCCAGGTCACAGGCACTGCAGTGACACAGCTGCAAGCCCTGAGCCAGCTAAACCGGTAAGAAGGAGGAGGATTGAGAGGAGGGAAGAGTGAGGAGAAAGAAGTGGGAGGTAAAAGAAGTGGGAGGAAATAAATAGAGGGGAACGGAGGGCGGCGGTCAAACACACAAGGTCTAAAGAGGGATAAACTTGTGGGAACGAAGGGAGAAAAAGAAAGAATCGGAGGAAAAGGAAAGGGAGCGGCCGGGTTGTGATGAGTGGGTGGCAGAAGACAACAGCGGCGCGCCGTGTGACGGGGCGGCTAGCGTGTTTCATTAGGGGATCGCGTCAACGGGTGGGTCGCTCTTTGTGACCTACAATAACCCCCGTGGACGCACCCGAGGGACCACCACGCCCTCGTCAAACAGCGAGGACGGCACGGACGGCGGCTATCGACACGGTGGCAGCAATATCGGGACGAAGAATGACTCAGCGAAATCGCGGACACAGGCTGGGCAGGAAGAGAAAGCGATACATAACAAACCTTCTAACGTTACAGTGTTTCGTATTATGAGCCGAATTGAAATAAGATGTGTGTACCTTTTGATTTCCGAGTACTTTTCGGACTATTCATAAATAGTTTTCTTCTTCTTCTTCTTCTTCTTCTTCTTCTTCTTCTTCTTCTTCTTCTTCTTCTTCTTCTTGTTTTTTCTGTGTCAGTAATTCTATTCTCTTTATTTCTTATAGTTCTTCATAAGTTGTTCCTAATGTTCGTCAATTTACGTACAACTGATATATTTTCCATTAGTTCCACTCCTCTATTAATTGATTTTCACTGCTTATTTCTGATATCATCGGGAAAATCACGCAGTACTCAGTGGTCATTTGAC